AGGTTTTAGTAGATAAATATAAGCAAAATTGCCTTTCCGACATTTTTGATTAACCTACCTGAGGTAGGTTTAGACTGCTGTTTTTTTGTATTTTTCGGGTTTTTTGTTTTTTTTTTGCTTCGCTGGCGATCATCAAAATTCTGTAATTTTATTGGCTGTTGATCACATGATGTACCTCCGGTCTTCCAACAACACCACCAAAAAAATTTCGGTTACACAAGATTTGTACTACATTCGGGCCAATAGAATTTCACCTGATCAGTCACGATATTTAAGCTTTTTACTATTGTTTAATAATTATATACTGAAACATTTAACTTTTGTGTTACATTTAAATTACTTTTAATAAAATATTGTTAAAGCAAAAAAAAAAACTTTTCTTATGAATATAATGTTTTCTAATAGCTTATACAAGTGTGATCGGTGTAGTAAATGTTTTGATGTAACTTTTTTCATTAGTAAAACGGGAAAATCCACGAAAATATGTAGTGAATATCAAAAAAAAAATTTATAAACTTATCATATTATAAAGTTTAATAATAATATACTTCATGACCAAAACCTTATCGAACCTGAGGAAATGAAAAAAAATTTATTTGAGTCTATTCTTGAAGTTGGAAATAACGAATATATTGAAAATGAAAATTCTGGTATAGAGTTTTCGTGTAAGGTGTCTACTATTTCCTTAAAAAGTGAACCTCATGAACTTGGAAAAGCAATTGCCGAAATAGTAGGATCTGCTGATGGATACTATTATATGTAAGTATTGTAACGATAATATATTAAAGAATTATGTAAAACTATTTATTAATAATAATATTATATATAGTTATTATAAGGTTTATAAATCAGAAAAAAATCATAACCACTATACATTTTGGTATAACTGCTCCCAAAATTGTACTTTAGCCAAACGTTCACGAAAACATGAAGATTTTGATAAGCATCGTGATAGGGAATATATCAAATGATTTGCTTGTAATGGTATTTTAAAAATATCACTTGATATAGAAATAAACGTTGCAATAATTGATCTTAAGCAAAACTTACTTCATAAGTGTCCAGACAGATTTAATACATTTGACAACATTAAAGCTGAAATAAAAAAAAATATTCATCTAATGTCTGCGAATATTTTCAGACAATTAGAACAGGAAAATCCAAACCTAACTCAAAAACAAGTTTATGCATGGTGGACTTATTTTTTGAAAAAAGAGTACATTCGTGATAATGATCAATTAAATTCCATGAAAATATTAGTAGAGGAAAACAAATGCAAGATTATTTTAATCAACCGTCAAAATATTTAATATTTGGGCTTTACAACACCATTTTTTGATTTATTAAAAAATAATAAGGAAATTATTACAGATGCTACATATAAAACAAATGCTTTAGGATATGAGTTGTATTCAGTTATTGGTCACTATGATGGTTCCGGATTTGTACTCGTATATTTGTTTATTGAGGGGTCTAAAAAAATTGACGGTGCATAGACAGACATTTTAACTTTATTTTTTGGAACTTTATTCAATTTGAGGTTAAAGAATATTTGTTTTTTTTAAGCGACAAAGATTTCGCACAAATCTCAGCTGCACTAAAAACTTGGTCAAACATCAAAATTCAACTCTGTTATTGGCATCAGAAGAAAGCTCTTAAAAAACATCTTGCAGATAATACATATCCAAAGATAATTAATTATAGTTCGTCTTTAGTACACCAAACATTTGATTTTATCAACATTGAATTTTATTTAACACCACCATCACAACTAATGTTAGCACAAAAAAAAGCTTTTGCTTTTGTCCTAAAGAGTTGCGCTCTAAGATTATAGATATGATGGAAACTCACATGCACCTTCATCCATTAATTCCAAATGCTAGCGGGTTTTATTTGTCAGCAAGTGAAATTTGAAAACAATCAACAAAACAAATTTATGAACTTTGTGTTAATCACGATTTACGACTTCTTTGGAGTTATTTGTGGGAACACTGGTATCACAAAGAAATCTGAAATCTGTGAGCCTGTTCTGCATATAACAATATTTGCACATTTCATACTACTATATTATGTGAATCTCACTGGAAAGTTCTTAAGCGGGATTTCTTACCAAAATTTTTTAGACCACGTCTTGATTTATTAACATATGTTATTGTTATTCGTTTAATCCCACACCATAGACAACAATATAATAAATATTATTATAAATGTGAAATGCCTTCTTGGCGAAAAAACTTAAAAAAAGAATGGATAATGTTAAGCAAAAAGCAAATTAATCATAATTACATAACTGACGTCGAAAAATGGATTTGTAGATGTTAAAGATTTTTAATCAATCGATTTTTTTTATACAAGCATTTAATTCAAGATCTCAATTTACAATTAATATATCTTTTTTTAAGAATATTCAGCGACAAAGAGTTTATCCTTTTCTATTTTTATTGTCGCAACAAAACTTTAATGCAGGTAAATTAAGTTCTTACAAATTAAAACTTGTTTTTTACATATTTGATTGATGAGATTTACTATTTTATAAATACTAAATATGTTTATTTAAATAGATGATACTATAATTACTAATTTAATGAATGAAGTTCAATCTACAGCTACGTCTACACCGTTAATGCACTCTAATACAGGTTAAAACTTGTTTTAATTTTAATTTTATTTATTTAAGCGATATTATGATATATAATTACTAATTCAATTGATCATAAAGATAACGAAGTTCAATTGATGTCTACACAATCAATGCATTCTAATGCAGGTAAATTATATTCTTCTGTATTAAAACTTGAATTTTTGTAACAATTAATATAAAGACTCGAATATGTATATATATTTTTATTTATTTAAAAATAGACGATATTATGAAAATCGACAATTTAAATGAAAATAATGATAATGAACCAATGCAACTATTTGAAGAATATAAATCCGTACTTCTTGATGCACTTAAAATTGTATAAGAACAAGAAAACACTAATAATATACAATGGGCGCAGTCTGTTCAAGGAAGTTTTAAAGGTATACAAAGTTTAGTAACGGATATTCAATCTTACAAAAGAAGACTAACCAACCCATACACCTGGAAGAATCATAATCAATATACAATGTTTTTACAGTAAATTACTGATAAACTGTAAGTATTTAATAAATATTTATGATTTGTTTTATCAATTCAAATTTTAATTTATAACATAATGGATATTTAAGAAAGATGATGGCAAGACAACTACCCCAACACAAAGGTAATGTGAACATATACAAATTCTTATCTTTAGCAAAGTACATCAACTATGTATTAACTATACAATTTGTGATAACAATTTAAAAGCAAAATATAATTGGTGGGCACTTTATTAAATTTATTGTATGTGACCATGTTATTGAACATATATAAATTTAATTTATGCGTTTAATTATCATTAGTTTAGAATCAAAAGGCAGACTAAACATTGAAATTAAATTGGCATTTTCTAATAATTCTCTCGAAGTTTGTTAATAAATTAAACCAACAAAAATTTAAGACAGTAAAATTTTTTTAAATTTTGAACAAAGATATTTCGATAATCAACAAACCAGATTCAATGAACTTTTTGTTTTTAATTTTACTTATTCATAGAATTAAAATAAAAAATTTTTATCAAATTTTGTTTGAAGTTGTTGAGATATCTTCGTTCAAAATTTGCCAATAAATTAAAATGTTTAATAAAATTCAAGTTGTGATTAAACTTTGATCGAAGATATCTCAACAACCAACAAACCAAATTCGATAAAAAATTTTTATTTTGATTCTGCATATTCATAGAGTCAATATAAAAAATTTTCATTGGGTTTGGTTTGGTAAATATCAAGGTATCTTTGTTTAATTGTAAAAAAAAATAAAATTTATGTATTGATCTACATTATATACACGCAATTTTATTGCCCAAAATCTTGTATAACCAAAAATTTTGGTAGTGCTGTTGGGTAGTTTATCGCGATTCCTGTTCACGTGATTTCTGACCATATAACCAGATCGGATGGAACTCTCGTAAATTATAATAAACCCCTTTTTGTATTATAGTATATTTTATACACTACAGCGTAATTCACCATTGTGGTCTGCATAGTGATTTTATTTTGTTGCAAAATAATTTTTTTTTTATATTTAAGTTCTATAATTTGCTAGAGTTTATTGTAAACTTGATATTGAACAAATAAACCTAACCATTAAATTAATTAGAGTGTAAAAATTTAAAAAAAATTTTACGCAGTCTTAACTAACTCAATTTTGAACAAAGCAGAAAAGAATAATTACATAATCAAATGTATCAATATAAATCAGAACAGTAAATTGTAAATAAAGCTAAAATTAATATACAAAAAAAAAATTTATTAATAAGCACAAATTTCTGTTCTATACAAATTTAATAAAAACTAATTTTGTTTGTTTTATATGTTTCTTATTTAAATTATTATTTGTCTAGTCTAATGCAATTAAATAAATTGCCAAAACATTACCTTAAGATTCAGGCTGATGTCTGAAAACAACATCGTATAAAATATGTCTCTTAAATTACCACATCTTTATTTAGTCTAATGCAATCACCAAAACATTACCTTGAGATTCAAGCTAATATCTAAAACCACATCATAGAAGTTTTCAGTTAAATTATTAATATGCACAAAATTTATTTTTAAACTAACTTACTGTTATTTGATATTTTTGTATTAACTTTTCGAATATAAAAACCCTAAAAAATGAAGTAACTAATTAATAAATCAGACTAAAAAAAAAAAATCAATTATAACTATTTTACTTGATAAAATTATAACTATTTTACTTGATAAATACTTATATTTAAAAAAAATTGGTTTAATATTTGAACATTAATTTTAATAATTTTATAATCTATTAAATTTTCAAATTATAAATAAAATATAATCTATTAATATATTTCTAATGTCTTACTGTACTTCTTGTTCATGTACTCTTTTGCCTAATGAATTCATATATGAAGGTAAAAGTTATAAACTTGTGCTAAGTGTAAGATTAAAGATAAGGAGAAATCTGCTAAAAATAAACAATCAGATAGTGAAAAAGCTATCAATGAAACAATTTTTGTTCAGGACATTAGTGATTATATTGCTAGTGCAATTGCTGATTTAGAAATTCAATTAAAACTTTCTCTTGCCTTTTATATTCAAATCGATGAGATCACACTTAATATTGTAGGCACCGATGTTAAAGCAATAGCTATATTAATAGTTGATGAAATTGAAAATGGTGATAGATATAATTGGATAGCCACAACTGTACCAAATCTTTCATCTCATTATCATGATATTGGAAATGTATATTTTGCATGTTTTCAGAGTTGTGAATTTGAGCGTAAATATAAAAACTCAAGTTTAAAAAGAAATTTCTGATTTAATTGTAGTAGTAAAATTTCAATTAAGGTTAACATTCTGGCAGCAGAAGCTAAAGTATTTTTAAATCATAAAATAATATATGAAAAACCTATTGATATTACAATGCCGTCTAAAATAAAACAAGAAATCGAAAAAAATTTAAATCTAAGTCTAGTAGATCTACGAACTTACCTTCGCAATAAAAACTTTGATATGTCAAAAATCACATACAAACAAATCTATTATTGGTGGTTGTACTATACACAACAGTTCTATAAGACTGATGAAAATCATATAATTTCTGCATAAAAATTTTTTGAGCAACAGCAAAAAAATAATTGTAACTTATATTTTTATCTTGAGACTGATAGTATAATGGCTCTTGGTTTTACTATATGTCTACTTTCAGAATCACATTATACTGAAATATATTGTGATGCTACTTACAGAACTGCCAAGAGCTGATTTGAACTTTATGGTATTGTTGGTGATGTAAAAGGCGCAGATTAGTAACAAATATTTATGCTTTATATAAAAAATACCTACATATATATAAAATTAAATATTAAATAAGTAATTACAGCATTATATAATGCTAATTACAATGTCTTCTATTATAATACCATATATAAAAAAAACACAGATAAAATTCAAATTTCTAGATACAGTCTTCCTCCTCTATAATTACACAGTTTGTATCAAGAAAATTGGTGATTATAAAAGAGTATAATTTTATAGAAGTTTTTTTAATAAGTTTTTTAATAAATTGCCTCAAAAATTAATGTGATTGTATAGGAGTTGTGACTATATAGGAGGTAATTATAGAGGAGGAAGACTGTATATGATATAATAAACTTATTAAAATCATATAAAAAACAACTATTTATAATATCTGTGTAATTAATATTTAGGCAGGTATTATTAAGAAATTTGAAATAGTATCTAAATACTATAGTTAGCGGTACTGCTCACTTCACAAACAATGATTTTATATATATCTTATTTATAGATAATTAATTTATCTACAAATTTATTTTACAAAAAATCGATTTATAGACAAGATTATTTCGTAGACAGCTTAGGATTAGAGTTAGAACTCAAAGTTAAGGCTAGGTATAATATAGTCTACAAAATGTCTACAAAATAAAATTGTCTGTTTGTTGTTTGTAAAAAAAAAACTTATAGGTAAATTATTTATCTATAAATTAAAATATCTTTTAAATAACTATTGGTAAAGTGATATAGAATCTGTAGTTAGCACTATATAGTAAATCAAATTAAATGTGATTATAAATTTTCATTTTGCAATGTCTAAATATTTTTGTTAAATATTAAATTATCCCTTAAACCGTCCAGCGGCCAAATATGCCCGCTAGAATATATTTTTTTATATTTTTTTATAATTGCTTAAAA